CAACAGTTTTTTTGCTTCATTTAGCCGAGCCTTCACAACCGTTATAGGGACGCCCTGCGCTTCCAATTCCCAAGCCTTCTGAATCAGAGGAAGAAACTGAGGATCCTCAATCCAGAAGTCAAAGAATTTGAAAGGCTTTGGGAGAGTTTTTTGCCCTAGTTTCGTGCCCACTAGAACACCACAATGATCAGTGAAAGCAGTTGGTAAAACCTCTACTCTACAATCAAGGAAATTGTCAAACCAACTTTCATTTACCAAAGCCCTATCCAGTTTCTTTGCAATTGGGTTTTCCACCTGCTTATTTGTCCATGTGAATTGAGGCCCTACCGCTCATTGGTCAAACAATTTCATGTTTGCCACCCAGTTACCAAAATCGTTCATACAACTAGTAGTGTCTCTAAGGTTAGATGTCTCCCCAGGTTTTAAAAAAGCATTGACCCCCACCAGCCAGGGAACCCCACGAACCTTTATTTGAGACATCTCCAAATAAGTTGCCCGTCTTTCCAATTCATCATTCGAACCATATACTGCAGTAAAAAACAAAGACTCCCCATTTACCATTTTAGCAAGACAATGCACAAAATTCTTCTTATGTAGCAAGATGCTAACTGTTACCACTTCTGGATCCCAGAATAACCACACTCTCCCCAACTCAGCACATAATTCAAATGTTTCTTCCAATCTTGACAAAAATCACCTGTTACTTCTTCTGCTTTAACCTTCCTCACTCTCGTTTCAAGAATTGCTACTACATCTACTCTATACTTTCGAAGGACAGAAAAGATGTCCTTCCTCTTAGAGGGTTTATTGAACCCTCTAACATTCCAGAAGAGAACAATCATGGGGGGGGGGGGGGGGGGAGAGGGCTGATAAAGCCCTGATTTCTTCCCACCTTTCTTTTGAGCAGCCTAAAGTTTAACGACCCTCTCCTCCTGCAGACCCTCAAGAGCTGCAAAAGCCTGAGAAGTAGACAGCACACTAGTTGGGCTCACCATAGGAGACCATCTTGGCTTAGCACCATTCACCACCTTCTAAAATTCCATGTATGATGGTAGCTTTAGAGAAGGGTAATCAGACACCTGCTGAAAGGATGTTTCTAAATTAACCCCCTGAGATTGAGAACCAGCTGCCACTACCACCCTATTTGACCCAATTAGCATATCAAACTCGGTATCCCCCATCAGTTCATCCACCAAAACTTACTTACCCTTGTTTTGAACTGCCACAGCAGGTGTAACAGGCTCCTTAGCCTCCTCAATAGCAACAGGCTCATGCCCCACTTCCTGTTGTTGTTTTTCATCTACCTTCTGCACCCAAACCTTCTGCCCCCTTATACAACAACAATCAAGCCCAAAATTCTTACATGTCTGGAAAACCGGAGGAAGATGACAATAGGTCACCCCCACCCGGATTGAAGTGTCATTTGTCGGCCAAATCAGGACATGGTCCGGGAACTCCCCATCTGCACGAAGCTCCACTAGGATTTTCGCAAATCCCAGCCTCTCTCCCACCCTGGTGGTCTGATCCACACCCAAATGAACCCCTAACCAACTTGTTGTTTTGATGAGCCCCTTAAAATTCACATACTCAATAGGGAGATTCGAGAAACGTACCCAGATCGAGAGCGCCTTCCAAACCAGGCTGCCAAGGACGAAGATACAACAAATTATCGAGATAGAACCATGGGCCGCTCTCCAAAATCCAATCACAAGTTGCTTGGGTTGGGAGCTGAATTAGAAGAAGCTGATCCCCCAGTAGAGAAACCAGCACTGGACCATCCCGCCCCCACATTCAATTTTCCCAATGCCGAAGTTCCGCTAGGGCCAGGAACGGATGAAGAAACTGCCCAAGGCTTCTGAGGGACACCTTGGACAGGGACACTACCGGACGCCATGGAACACTCCGCACTCGACAGTGAAAAAGACAGACTGATCAAAGAAGAAACAGGCACCGGCGCGGGTGCCGGCACGGCCAGCCTAGACCTAATCAGAAACCAGACTGGCCCAAAATTTGGGAGCGTTTTCTCACTCTACTTTCTCACTCTAATCCTTTATGTTTTTTTACATTCGTAGTCTATAGTTTGATAATTAATAACATTACTTTGCATTTCTTTTTTTCTTTTGAAAAACAGTTTAAGTTATTCGATCATCGCTTATGCAAGAATTATCGACATTCATTCTTGAAAAACTCCAATAGAAAAAAAAAAAGAGCAATGAATTGCTTGTTCTGCCAAAAATAGGGAGAATTACTACTTGTTGGGAAACCACTAGTTATGAGTGTTGTATTTCCTTGTAGACAAATTAAAAAGTATTTTTTAACATGCTATTTTAAGGGGTATGTAGAGAAGCAAAAGTCCACCATGAGATGCAAACTTAATACTTCTTCATCATCTCCAGACAGAGCATTATTGATTTATTCGAAGGAGGAGTACATCTATAAATTACTATTAGTTTTCAAAATTACCATGAAGTCATCATATTTTCTTGCATATTGTAGGTCATTGGTTTTCCAAAATGTTTCATATCGGTTTAGCACTGGTTAATCACTTAACATTAAACCTATTGTTCATTCGGCTTGATGTTCGGTCAAATTCTCTATTTTGGAATTTCAATCATACTTTTCTTGCTTTGCTTCCTAAAATCAATTTAATTGTGAATATGAGATATCTAAGAATAATTAGATGTGAAGTGGCATTTTTTGTATCCATGGTGTCAAATTTGAAAGTGTATCATATCATCCACTCATTTTTTAATATTAATGGATTGGAAGCTCGAAAGATCTTTTCAACAATTCGTGCTATGAGAAGAAGGTTTCACATCCTTATTGGAGGAGAACGTGCATATTATCATCTGCACATTATCAATTTTGGGAGGCATTATTTGAATATGCCTCGCTTATACTACGCGGATGCCTCATATCAATTTGTGAGATGTTCAACAATGTGTTTTTTTGTTGGCATATTTACAGAAGTACAAGAGAGTGATTGAAAAAAAAAATCATTGATTCATTTTTTTGTGCTATAACTAAAATCTCCCAAAAGCATTGTCGAATATTTCTCACTTAAGATTCGCGAATGGCTCATATAATTTTGTGAGAGGTTCAAGAATGTGATTTCTTATGGCCACAATGTTTGGAATAAGGGCGACTCGTACAAAGGTTAGATGATTTGACTTGATGTCCATGGCATAGAGATCAAAGTGGGAAACATTCAAATTCCTCGAGAAAAAGATACTACAATGGATGTAAGGTAGAAAGATAAGTGTCTTTTATTGTTAAAAAAAATCATTAATTAAGTATGTAGCAATGCTGTCAAAGCCGAGCCGGAGTATGACCCGGCAACGTGAACGGCTCGGTTATTATTGGTCCAGCCGACATTAGACTGTTTAAAAACCGTTTGAGAACCGGTACATTATAAAAAAATATAATATCATAGTAGAACACACATAAAGTAATAATTCAATGATTTAATGAGTAAAAATGATAATTACAGGTACCATTTAATAATTCTACACAACATATATATACAGCAACTAAAAAAAATCCTAACCTAATCTAAGCAACAGCGTCGCTTCCCCACCCATCACTCTCCTTCCTTCCGCTTCCCCATCCCCCCTCCCTCTCTCCTTCCTCCTCTCCCACCGCCGCACCTATTTTCATTTTTCAGCCACTATTGCCTTCTGCAATTCCTCAAAAATCCATCACCACATTCAATTCTTCCTCATCCTTTCTTAACCAGTAAATGCTCTTCCTCGTCCCAATCCGCGAAATGGCTCGGATTCAATCCAAGCCTCTGGTGAGACAGGGCAGCTTAGCGGGGAGCTGCTTGCGACAGTGGCGATGGGATGGAAGCGCCGGGAGTGGGGAGATGCTTGCTACAACAAGGATTGGCGATGGCGATGCGATGGCGACTGGGGATGGCGATGCCGTCGAAAAGCGCCGATGCCGGGACAAGAGGTGTTGACGGCTGATTCCACGATTGGCCTTTTCTATTTTTTTTAGGATAAACCAAACGGCCGAACCGCGCGACCGGCTTGAGCGGCTCGAGTGGTTAACCGCTTTGGCCGCTCGCCGGCCGCTGTATAGAACCGTGGCGGTTAAATAGCTGATCCGAGCCGACTTTACTGCCGGGTGGCGGCTTTGGCGATCCGACCGGCCGGCTCGGTTCGGCTTTGACGGAACTGGTATGTAGGTTTGGCTCTTTTATTGCATGTGATGTTGTGATATCGATTATTGATCAATTTATGTCACTCACCAAAGCTAGTTTCATGTATATGCATACTACATGATACTAGCATCCGGACCAACCTATCTCCGAGCCAAAATACAAATACTCACTAGAATTAATTGTGTCTACCTATTTGAAATTGTTTGTTTAAAAATAGCATAAAATCAAATACTAGCCCCAAAGAATAGCCAACACAGTTGAGGAACAAAAACAAAGGTTATTCATGCATTTTCTGTTTTGACAATTTTGCTTTATAAATTTGTCAATATGTAACCACTATAAATAGAAACTATTCAAACATTGATCACATGACCATCATATTTATTTTTTTAATATGGTGAGAATGTTCTTGTTTGTTTAATATGGTTGCAAGTGTATGGTTATAAGTCTCATTATTGCATATCAAGTTCAACAAAGTATCAATTCATGCTCAGTAATTAGTTTACTTCTCTACAGGAAAAATATTTTCAGATATTTTCATTACATATAGTTTGCATCTTATACCCGTGTTAACAAATTGATCATAATCAAGCAAACTACTAGAAGCAATACCAACCTGGTAACTACAGTAACAATTAAACGAAAGATACTACAAATACATTGATTGTAATTGATTCGCATCTCCCATACCATTCACCAAAAGAACCAATTAATCACGTACCCATATATTTCCTCAAAGACCTTCCTAAAAGAAAATTAAGAGAAGAGTAGCATTATTGACCAAGCACAAGCCTACGGAAGCATTGTCCATATGTTGGCGGATGATGACCTTAAGGTCGATTCTACTGTGCATGAGATCCACACTTGGGAGCATGATTTTTACGCCATTGGAAATGCAGCGATGTTGGGGTCCTTTGGTTCTATGTATATGTAGATTTTATATCCATTGTCTGAATTGCATCTTATTTAAATTTTATATTATTATGTTATATGTATTTTGAAAAGTATTATTTAGATCGGTGCATTTGCATTACAAGTTGTATAAGAAAATGAGAATATAAGGAATTTGCAGTAATAAGCCCCAAATCGAGAAGCTTGTTGAACACAGCCTGGAAATCAGATTTCTAAGCCAGAAAACAGAGTAACAGGGGAATAGAAGGATGGTTCGGAGTGCAACTTCAACACCACGCGCGGGGAAGACGCTCAACCGAATTCAAGGTAGCAACCCGACCACGATTGAGGTGATGACTCAATCGATACAAGGCTCGCTCGTTGTTGGCGATTTGAACCAAGCAACAAGGACAATCCACGAGTTAAAAACTCAATGAACAAGTTCTTAATTGATTATCGTCTAACCATTACAATGGAGTTTGTAGGTCTTTAAATAAGCAAACTAAAACCTAATTCGAGTACAAAACAAACAAGGAAAGCTAATTAGTCCTACTACGTTTAAATAAGCAAACTAAAACCTAATTCTTGAACGAACAATTCTAACTTGGAATGGAAGCAATCCAAGCTCATATCAGGCTCTCCCTCTTCAAAAAGCTTTGCCCTCAAAGCTGGCTCTTTCTTCTTCTCAAAATCTGCACAAAACTGAGTCCAAATCAGGTCAAAAGATGGCATCCCAAACTCCATTTTCTGCAATTCAAGAACAGTGTTCTTGAATAAGGAGACTGGGGCTTTTTGATCTAGGGACTCCCATTCCAATTCGTGGCTGCCAAGAGGTTTCCCGTACTCCCAATCAATTTTCTGGACAGCTCTCGGGCCTCGATGCGTCGCCAAGGGCGGCAACTCAGCTCCACGTTCCTTCCTGCCAACGCTGGTGTTTAAAAACAAGGAACCCAGAATTTTTGATTCCGAATTGGGCGTTTTGATGCTAGCCACCTTCGGATCCAATTGATCAATCCTACAGCATATCGAAGACGTGAGCAATGATTCTGCCGAGTCCGTTTGGGTCGAATCAGGCCTGAGCATTCCAACCCATTCAGCTAAACTTCCTTCTTCCTTGTGCGCAACCGGGGCCGTTGGACGTCGAATTTGAGCTGGCGCATGAGGGGAGTTTGCATCGCTTTTTCCTTCGAAGGAGATTCCCAGGGTCGTGGGGACTGCGTCTGAGGCATTGGCGAATCTCGACATCGCGCGAGCTGCTCCACCCCATTGCCCCTCTCTCCTCCTCTACTCGGCCGACACAAAACAGAGTCGTTGACGCTCTGGCAGCGGGTGAAGTCTCTCTTTGCCAAAAGCAGTGAGCATGAACCTTCGAGCTGTTAGTCCATCTTCAACTCGTTGCGATTGAGTGGTTCCCTCGGTGTCTATACTCCAACTCGCCATCATTTGTTGTTGATCAATTCGGACCTCTGCCGGGGATAACGGTTTAAGTAAGAAATTACGCTCACGATGCTTGAATCTGTAAGAATTACCTCGGCCATCATGAACGACCCCACGATCGTATTGCCAAGGGCGTCCTAACAAGAGGTGTGCGGCTTGCATCGGAGCTACATCGCACCATAATTCATCCTCGTACTCGCCGATTTCGAAGTGAACTTTCGCCTGTTTGTTCACTTTCAACGTCCCGTACTCATTTAACCAATGCAGGTTGTATGGTTGGGAGTGTTTAATCGTTGCTAGCCCGAGCTTCTTAACGGCATCAAGGCTGATGACGTTTGTGCAGCTGCCTCCGTCAATTACAACGGACAATAACTTCCCTTCAATTGTACAACGGGTGTGGAAAAGATTATCACGTTGTTCTTCGCTGGCCAGAGAATCCAAAGTGAGTGCTCGTCGATTTACTCCGAGAAATTTTCCCGTAGGAGGGACTTCGACTTCAATTGATTCATCGACTTCGAGATAAGACTCACTCCCTTCGCTGCCACCTTCCTCTGCTTTATCTTCGGTCACGTACTCTCCATTGCGTAGCACCAGGGCCTTCTTGTTTGGGCACTGGTTGGCCTTGTGGCCTCTGCCGAAGCACTTAAAGCATTGTATGTTGCTCGTCGATCCTCCCGGCTTCTTGTGATTCGCCGGAACAGTAGTGCGGGGTGTAGATTTGGGCCCTTCCAATCTGGCCGGTTCTGAATTCATCACAGGAACGTGCTCTGAATTAGTCTTCGAGTACCTCCTCCCCGCACTTGCTCGTTGCTGCCGTTCCACCTTAATTGCAAGGTGTACAACTTCTTCCAGCACGACGAAGGGTCGCAGCTCAACTTCGAGTTTAATTTCGCGATTCATCCCATGAAGGAACCGTGCAATAGTGGCTTCTTTATCTTCCCGGACATCAGCACGCATCATGAGGAGCTCAAGCTCTCGATAGTACTCGTCAATGGATTTTGAACCCTGCCGTAACTGCTGCAGAGACTCAAACAGATCGCGTTGATAGTATCCCGGAACAAAACGTTCTCGCAGTAAACCTCTCAGCTCCGTCCAAGTTGTGACTTCAGGTTGTAAATTCCTACGACGGCGGAGCTGGGGTTTCTCCCACCACTGTGCGGCATAGTCGGTGAATTCGTACGTCGCAAGAAGTACTTTCTGGGCTTCGCTGTAATCGCCGCATTGAAAGAAAAGCATGATCTTTCTTTCCCAATCGAGATACACCGAGGCATTGTTTGTGCCCGCGAACGATGGGACTTGTAATTTAATACCTCTTAGCTCGGCAATGTTGTTTCCGTGTTCTGCTTCTGCTACTAATTGTCGTTCGTGATCGTCCTGAAGCGGGTCTTGCTCGAAATTCTGTTCCGCAACAACAACCCTCTGCTGCCGAACAGGGGAGTTCACCGTCACTCTGAGGTCAGCCAGCTGCTGATTCAAAGTGTCGAACTGGGCTTGGATAGCGGCATTCTGCTGTGCCATCATGGTTCGAAGCAATTCCACGACATTGACCTGCTCCGCCATGGCCGAATCGTCGCCCGCTGTGGTCTCCTTTTCCGACACAGACTCTGCCGCGAGCGACCGTTCTTTGTTAGGGAAACCCAGAACAGCCGCCTGCTTCTTTGAAACTTTCTGTCCCACTACCAAAACAGCAGCAGGATCGCACTCTACAGGGCCCTTTGATCGGGTCCACCTCGTCGTGCCCGCGCCACCTTCTGTCGATGAACTCGTCCTCTCTACCACAGCGGAAGAATCGTCACACGGCCACTGAGTTGAACCGGGCTCTGATACCACTTAATAAGCCCCAAACCGAGAAGCTTGTTGAACACAGCCTGGAAATCAGATTTCTAAGCCAGAAAACAGAGTAACAGGGGAATAGAAGGATGGTTCGGAGTGCAACTTCAAAACCACGCGCGGGGAAGAGGCTCAACCGAATTCAAGGTAGCAACCCGACCACGATTGAGGTGATGACTCAATCGATACAAGGCTTGCTCGTTGTTGGCGATTTGAACCAAGCAACAAGAACAATCCACGAGTTAAAAACTCGATGAACAAGTTCTTAATTGATTAACGTCTAACCATTATAATGGAGTTTGTAGGTCTTTAAATAAGCAAACTAAAACCTAATTCGAGTACAAAACAAACAAGGAAAGCTAATTACTCCTACTACGTCTAAAGGTAACAAATCCAAACAGAAAAGGAATCCCAACTCGTCCATAAAACCCAAAACTTGTAGCTCACGTAAGCTGCCTCCAAAACAGGTTCCATAGCAACTTTTGACCCCCACGTTCACATGCCTCCAGGTCTCCATCTCCTTAGCCAATACCTTGCTTCTGTAGACAAACAAACACACTTTCATGTGGTACAAAGATCCTTCCCTGATTCAAACCCTTCTTCCCTGAATGGAGCTCCAAAGTGACCTTCCTTACCGAGCCTCCAGACTTAGCCAAATTCTGGCAGTTTGACGGTTTTGAGACAGCTACTTTGAGGCCTTGAAACACAGCCTTAAAGATCTTGTATGAACCCGAATCCCATGCCATCTTGTAGAGGAAGTGTTTATCTTCAAAACAACACCTTAACCTCGAATTTCTATCAACCCAGTTTGAAGGTTCGAGCTCGCAAAGTCGGCTACCTGAACTCATCATAATACTTAGCCAAAAATTCAGATTGTGCAAATGAGTTAGCTTAGCTTCTTGAACGAACAATTCTAACATGGAATGGAAGCAATCCAAGCACATATCATGCAGTCTATATATAAAGGACGATTTTACATGCACTCTATTGCTTTCTAATATTAATTGCACTCAAATATATAGAAGAAATATTTAATTACATAAAATTCTAACCATTTTCCTAATTATATTTGTAAATATGACTTCATTATTTGGTAAAGTTGTGAATATTCATGGAGGATATTGATTTTTTTTACATTCTTAGTCTATAGTTTGACAATTAATTACATTACTTTGCATTTCTTTTTTCATTTTGAAAAAGAGTTAGTTTTTTAATTTATTCTATCGCCGCTTATGCAAGAATTATTGACATTCATTCGTGAAAAACTCCAATAGAAAAACAAAAGAGCAAAGAATCGCTTGTTCTGCCAGAATTAGGGAGAATTACTACTTGTTGGGAAACCACTCGTTATGAATGTTGTATTTCCTTGTAGACAAATTAAAAAGTATTTTTTCACATGCTATTTAAGGGGTATGTAGAGAAGAAAAAGTCCACCATGAGATGCAAATTTAATACTTCTTCATCATCTCCAGACATAGCATTATTGATTTATTCGAAGGAAGAGTACATCTATAAATTACTATTACTTTTCAGAATTACCATGAAGTCATCATATTTTCTTGCATATTGTAGGTGATTGGTTTTCCAAAATGTTTCATATCGGTTTGGCACCGGTTAATCACTTAACTTAAACCTATTGTTCATTCGGCTTGATGTTCGGTCAAATTCTCTACTTTGGAATTTCAATCATACTTTTCTTGCTTTGCTTCCTAAAATCAATTTAATAGTGAATATGAGATATCTAAGAACAATTAGATGTGAAATGGCATTTTTTGTATCCATGATGTCAAATTTGATAGTGTGTCATATCATCCACTAATTTTTAAATATTAAAGGATTGGAAGCTCGAAAGATCTTTTCAACAATCCTGTGGCTTACAGAAAGGTGAACAACTGATACCTTTGTTATTCGTGCTATGAGAAGAAGGTTTCACATCATTATTGGAGGGGAACTTGCATATTGTCATCTACACATGATCAATTTTGGACGGCAATGTTTGAATATGTCTCGCTTATACTTCGCGGATGCGTCATATCAATTTGTGAGATATTCAACAATGTGCTTTTTTTGTTCGCATATTTACAGGAGTACAAGATAGTGATTGAAAAAAAAATTCATTGAATCATTTTTTGGTGCTATATTAAAATGTCCCAAAAGCATTATCGAATATTTCTCACTTAACCTTCGCGAATGGCTCATATAATTTTGTGAGAGGTTCAAGAATGTGATTTCTTATGGCCACAATGTTTGAAATAGGGGTGACTCTGACAATCGTTAGATGAGTTGACTTGATGTCCATGGCTTAGAGATCAAACTGGGAAACATTGAAATTCCTCGAGGAAAAGCTACTACAATGGATGTAAGGTAGAAACGTAAGTGTCTTTTATTGTTAAGAAAAATCATTAATTAAGTATGTTGGTTTGGCTCTTCTATTGCATGTGATGTTGTGATATCGATTATTGATCAATTTATGTCACTCACCAAAGCTAGTTTCATTTAGATGCATACTACATGATACTAGCATTCGGACCAACCTATCTCCAAGCCAAAATACAGATACTCACTAGATTTAATTGTGTCTACCTATTTAAAATTTTATGTTTAAAAATAGCATAAAATCAAATACTAGCACCAAAGAATAGCCATAACAGTTGAGGAACAAACACAAAAGTTATTCCTGCATTTTTTGTTTTGACAATTTTGCTTTATAAATTTGCCAATATGTAACCACTATAAACAGAAACTATTCAAACTTTGATCACATGACCATCATATTTAGTTTTTTAATATGGTGAGAATGTTCTTGTGTTTGTTTAATATGGTTGCACGTGTATGGTTTGAAGTCTCATTATTGCATATCAAGTTCAACAAAGTACCAATTCATGCTCAGTAATTAGTTTTCTAGTTCTCTACAGGGCAAATATTTTTAGATATTTTCATTACATATAGTTTGCATCTTATACCTGTGTTAACAAATTGATCATAATCAAGCAAACTTTGAGAAGCAATACCAACCTGGTAACTACAGTATCAATTAAGCGAAAGATGCAAATACCTTGATTGTAATTGATTCGTATCTCCCATACCATTCACCGAAAGATAAAATTAATCACGTACCCATATATTTCCTCAAAGACCTTTCAATCTCTTTTGATTTGGGAAACGAAAGAGTATTTAAGAAATGGGTTCTCCGAGATCATCATCTTTCATTGTGTGTTATATACTATTTTCATGTTTTCTTATTCTAAATCTTCCATACAAAATACAAGCCAGAAAGCTATCACCATTGCTAACAAAGCCACCAGTTAAAATACTCAAAGAAAATTACGAGAAGAGTAGCATTATTGACCAAGCACAAGCCTACAGAAGCATTGTCCATGTGTTGGCTGATGATGACCTTAATGTTGATTCTATTGTGCATGAGATCCACACTTGGGAGCATGATTTTTACGCCATTGAAAATGCGGCGGTGTTGGGGTCCTTTGGTTCTATGTATATGTAGATTTTATATCCATTGTCTGAATTGCATTTTATTTAAATTTTATATTATTATGTTATATGTATTTGGAAAAGCATTATTCTGTTCGGTGCATTTGCATTAGAAGTTGTATAAGAAAATGTGAATATAAAGAATTTGCAGTCTACATATAAAGGACGAGTTTACAAGCACTCTATTGCTTTCAAATATTAATTGCACTCAAATATATAGAAGAAATATTTAATTAAATAAATTCTATATTCCATCCTCCTAATTACATTTGTAAATATGACTTTATTGTATAGTAAAGTTGTGAATATTTATGGAGGATATTGATTTTTTACATTCTTTTTTTTCGTTGAATCGGTTTTCTCTTTCTTATTAAAGCCAAAAAACAGATACAATGAAAGTGGGCCTAGCCCAAGCAAGAATAGGAGAACATCACTCTCCTATTCTAAAAAACAAACAACCTGAAAAAACAAATGACAGAGAACTTTACTCTCGCAACCATCTACATCTCAAATCAACCCTAATGCATGCAAATCACTTGTCATAGAAATATTCCAAGCATTCAGGAATCTTAAATCCTGCAAAATAGCATTTCCCACCACCACTGCACTACGAGGAGTATCCCCATAAAATCACTTACTCCTTTCTTTCCAAATGCTAGAAACACAGAAGCACTAGAGACAGCCCATCATTCTCCATGTTGCTGTCTTCTGTGATCTAAGCTGACAAGCAGCTGAAATTGTGTCTTGCCATGTCCCTCGACACCACTACATGCAGCGAAGGATCCTTAGCAGTTCATGCAAATAAGCACAGTGGAAAAACAAATGGCCTCTTGATTCAGGATTAGCGTTGCATAGAACACAAGTTCCATCAACCAAACTACCCCATTTCAGGAGTTTGTCCCTCGTTACTATATTGTCCTGCAAAACCAACCAAGTTAAAAAACTAGGTCCAGGGATATATCCCTTCCCTCAAACTAGTTTATCCCACGATACCACAGGTCACTTCTTCCTAAGAGATTCCCAAACCACTCTTATAGTAAATTTTGTCATCGGAGTACCATCCCAGCAAAGAGAGGCCCCATGCCCAGAAAAATGAGAATGGACAGAAGAATGAACCTTGAGTATTCGTCTCCAAGCCCACGAACTACTAGAAGAGGATCTTATTGTCCAAATGCTACCAGCTTTCACCTTATACTGCATAATCCAAGCAACCCAAATAGTCCCGCTTTGCATTAGGAGTAGCCATATCTGCCTTGTTGTACAATCCTGATTCCATGTAAAGAGTTCTTTCAATCCCAAACCTCCTTCCTTCCTAGGTCGTGCTATTTTGTCCCAGCCAACTTTAGCTCTGCCCTCCTCACCTCCATGCCACAAAAAGTCAGTACAAATTTTGTGCACCCTCTTAAGTACACTCTTTGGCAGCAGAAAAACTTGCATCCAAAACTGTAAAACACCCATCACCTTCCTGCATAGCTGAGCTTTTTCACTTTCCCGTTCTTAATCTTCTGAGTAATCATGTCCACCAATCGATCACATTCTGCATATGAAAGTTTACCAGAGACAAGTGGGAGCCCCAAATATCTAACTGGGAGTTTGCCCTCTTCGAAACCAGACCTCTCCAATGCATTATTTTTAAAATCCACAGAACTACCCCAAAGTACACTTCACACTTCCTAGGATTAAATTGCAATCCAGATAATTAATAAAACTCATTAAGGACACTCTGGACAGCAACAATAGCCCTAGCAGACCCCTCAGAGAAGATCAACAGGTCATCAGCAAAGCTTAAGTGTGTTAGACCCACTTTTTTACACTGCAGGTGATATGGTATAAGTCTAGAAGTAGCTGCAACATTAAGAAGCATAGACAAACCTTCCATTTCAATAGTAAAGAGGTAGGGTGACAGAGGATCCCTCTGTCTCACCCCCCCCCCCCCCCCTCTTTGCACCAAAATACCCACGCAACCCACCATTTACACATATACTAAACCTAGCTGTTTTCACAAATAGCGAGATCCATTTACAAAAGGGTGCAGGGAATCCCATTATATCCAGCATCAATAACAAATATTCCCAATTTACCGAATCAAAAGCCTTCAATAAATCCACTTTAATAGCACAACATGAGGATAATTGTTTTCTATGATAACCACTCACCATTTCCTAAGCCATGAGAATATTGTCCACAATTCTTCTAATACAACCCTGGGGGTGTATTTTTATCAAAGTCACGCAGCAAACAATCAATCCGAAGATTGATTGAACACGAATCAAGAACAACGCGTTCTTAATACGAAATTTGGATAAAACGGAACCAACAGACAATTCCACACCTGGGGAAAGCTCGTATGGTATAAAAGGGTAGTTGCTCGACCACGATTGAAGGGACTATTCAATCGATACAAAGCTCAGCAAGTTTGGAATCCACCAAACCCAAAACAAGTTCGCAAACTTGCAAAACCAAACTGTTTCTTTTCTATTCAATCAACCCTTTGTTCACCAACATACCTAGTTTCATGTTGTGGAAGCCTTTTGACTTGAATCCCATCGATGCTCTTTGAATTGAGCTCCAAAGTAGGCTTCACAAAACAGTGTTTTGCCTTAGCCATTTTCTGGCAGTTTTACAGTTCTGATGTAGCAACTTTGAGGCCTTGGAAAACAACCTAAATGACATCTTCTGGATCCACAAAGCATACCATTGGAAACATGGAAACTTTTTCTGTAAAACAAGCCCTTGAAATGGAATTTCCACCACGCCAATTGAGAGAACCATGCCTCCAAATTATGTACCTTGAACACGGATTTTGACTTTGCCAAATTCTGCCCTTCTTCTTCCCAACTTTGATAGCTTCTTCGTCAAGTAATTTAAGCGTGTATAGTTGACCATTTGGGATCATATCGGGCCCTCCCTCTTGGAAAAGTGTTTTCCTCAACACTTTGGCCTTTCGTTGCTCAAACCATTCAACAGAATTGATCCCAAATTGGATCAAAATAGGGCTGCTCAATCATCATGTTCGACAGAAAATTTTCAGCTTCAAACTCACCTCCAAGCTTCTCCGGGGATTTTGAAACTTGCAGAGCAGTTGGAAACTCTCCCTGGGCTCGAAAAACCCCTTCCTCGTCTTTCAATTTCGCCGAGATTTGATCAGAGCAATTTCCAGGTCGCCGGACTGCAGGTCGGCTCAAGTTCTTGCTCGTCACAATTGGGGGTTTTCGATTAAAGAATCCACATAGCAATTCAATGACTCCACATGCTTCAATAGGCCAATTGAAGTTTTGATCCCTTCTCTAGCATCGATTCATCACCAGGGTCTTCAATTCGTTAGATTTCACTCTCCCACCGTCGAGCCCTTTCAAATTTTCCATACCCAGAAATTTTTAACCCAGGCTTCTCATTCCAGGCTTCTCCGCGCCAATTTGATTGCTCCAAAATCTTCCTGGAATGGCCCCGAACGATTCCACATCGTTCGTTTGGGTCGGATCTCGCCCTATCGTCGTAACCCATTCGGCGAATTTTCCTTCTTGCTGCTGCGTTTCCAGAGGTAGAGGAGCTCGATTTTGATTTGGAAAAGTAAGTGTATTCGACTCGATCCAGCCATTGGAGAAGATTCCTGGGTCTACCTTTGACGATTCTGCGTCTTTAGTTTGCGTGGAAGCAAACCCGATCTCCCCAACCAATTTAGCGAATTTGTTTCCCTGTTCGTGCATTTGCAGAGGGATTTCAGCTCAATCGAACATCTGCAAAACAGATGAAATCGTTGCAATTTGATCGAGGCATGAGCTTCTCGATATTTTAGGTGACATTTCAGGTTCCTTGGGTATGGTCGGATTGCTCCCCAGAGCTCCACCCCATTGCCCCTCTCTCCTGCTCTGTTTCGCAGGGGAATTGGGTAGCTCCACGATGCTAGTCACAGGATCGATTCGTCCGTCGACGGCCTGCCCTGTGCCTTCTCCGCGCCTCGCCGACCTTCCCGAAATCTCCAGGGATGTTTTGGAAGCTTCAGCGTGCTCTGGGTTTCCTTTCTCGTCGATGGCCAAGCCACTGAACGCGGCACTCTGTGTCACGGAATAATAACAGGGGATGTTCTAGGCAGTGGGTTCCGTTGCCTGAACTTCCTCACTGAGCTGGATATCTTGCTTACGTAACTGCTGCGCTCCGTTAGAAACCTCCAGCAGCTTTTCCTCCTCGTCACGGAGCTGTCGCAGCAGGGTGGCTCGATCTTCTGCAGCTTCTTTTGGCGACAGAAGCTTTAGAGCAATATGCTTCCCGCAATTCGTCAATCGGATTCTGTTGGTGCTTCTGCTATGTCGAGATTCATGGAAAACATGCCAAGGGTGACCAAGAACCACATGAGTCATCTTCAGGGGCACCACGTCGAACCGAACGACGTCTTCGTATCTTCCGATTTTGAAAGGTAAGGTCACCTCCTCTGTCACAAAAACAGAGCTTCATGTTCCCAGCAATGAAGTAGAGTAAGGAGCTGGATGCTTTCGAATTGGCAGCCCCAATTTCGACACTGCTCGTGAGCTAATCAGGTTTGATTTGCTCTCTTCATTGATGTACATAGAGCACACCTTTTCTCCCACCAAACAGCGAGTGTATGTCGTCAAATTCGCTTGTTCCAATTCGACCACCATGGCTGCCCTGTTTCTTGACGAATTCTGCTTGTACGAAACAACACGTTTTCGCCTTCTTCTTCGCCCTTGTGTAGAACCAGGGACCACTTAATACGACCCTGGGGGAGGTGTATTTTTATCAAAGTCACGCAGCAAACAATCAATCAGAAGATTGATTGAACTCGAATCAAGAACAACGCGTTCTTAATACGAAATTTGGATAAAACGGAACCAACGGACAATTCCACACCTGGGGAAAGCTCGTATGGTATAAAAGGGTAGTTGCTCGACC